TTATAAGAATCCTTCGTAACAAGCAAAATTGATTTTTCAACCAAAAAAAAAAATTTAATTTATGTGTGGCTGAATCATGATGCCAAAGTGGACCTATCAATTTTAGAAAGCAATTACCATTGAAGAATTGACTTTAGAAAGCAGCCCAATGTGAATAAAATGGGGGAGCCCATGTTGACTAGATATGAGATTTTATTTTCTTGCTATCCATCCATCTTGATAAAATTATAAAAAAATAAATATAAAGTTAAATTAACACCAACATTAGCATAAAAAAAAATTAAAATCATTTTCAACAATCGGACTTGTTCTCACTATACTTTTCTGAACTTAGAAGTCACACACATTTGTTTTTCCCAAGGGCGTGTTTACGCTTTCACTTTCTTATTTTTACTTTCTCTAAATGTAAAATCATGATTTTGATTTCTTGAGGTAAAAATAAAAAGTGGAATCATGTTTAATAATTTTTTCTATTTTCAATATTTTGAAAGCAAAAAAATAGAATGTAAGTTCAATAAATTATAATTTTATTTTTGTTTTTGTGGTCATCTTTCTCTCTCTAAAAGAAGGTATCTGGGTTTGATTATAATTATTTGGCTTCCTCAATGGTGAACTAAGCAAGTATAAATTTAGCAACATAAGCATAGAAAAAGTGAGGGCCTAAAACTATGACTCCAAAGAAGAACCTGATAAAGATTAAAGAGCTCATCTGTTCCTCTATACATATTAATGTCATCGCGATTCTTTGGCATGCACAGAGTAGAAAAGGTAGGCTCTGTAAACAGACCCATGTTGTAGACAATGTAATTATCATCAATTTTTGGTCGTCTATCACTTCTCCTGGCTGAATAATCTCGTCCTAAAGTTCTGCCTCTCTTATTCTCCGGCGACGACGATACCGGAATCAAGAAGTAGTTGATGTGGTTGAAAAGAAAGAAATAGATGAGTTTAGTAGAGGAAATCATCAGTCCAAATCCTACATCAGTCCAGTGATTCGATGAAATTGAGGCATAGTTGCTTAAAATTGGAAGAAATCGGGGTGATAAGATGATGGGTCAACAATAGAAGGAGGAAGAGGTTTCAGTCTTCAGTGGATGATCGGCGGCATTTGGTAGCAGTTTATGGTGGTAGAGAGAAGAAGAAAGAGGAGCTGGTGTCCCCTTCGTTGCCGGTCACTGATCGCCCGATTCCAAACTTGCAGTGGTTGTGGCGGCATGGGTCTTGGTGATAGGAGAGGATTATCGGCGGGCGTTTGGTAGTAGTTTGTGGTGGTAGAGAGAAGAAGAGAGATGAGTTGGTGTCCCCTCCGTTACCAGTCACTGATCGCCCAATTCCAAACTTGGAGTGGTTGTGGCAGCGTGGCTCTTGGTGATAGGAGAGGTTGATGGGTTAGGGCAAGAAAGAGGGGAGACAGTAATTTTGGTGGGGATAAGTAGCACTATAGTGGAAAAGTAATTTCTGTCTACAGTGGAGAAAATAAAGAAAGTATCAAATTGTCACTTTCTCTTTTCTTTCGTTAAAAGAGAAAGTACTTTTTTGAAGTTGAAAAGTGAAATTACTTTATTGAACATGATTTTTACTTTTGATTCTCAATTTTAGAAATTGACAGTAGAAATCAGGAATCATTCCTGTTAGTGAACAGCCCAGCAAACCAAAATTTATTGTGAGTTTATGCAGCGCAAGATTAGAATTTTTTTTGATGTGTTTATTTCTAAATTTACTTATTTTAGCAATTAATCAATTAATTTCATGCAAGATAAAATAACGTAAACTAATAAAGTTAGAGATGACACCATGATTTTTAGTGAGGAAACCCCAATTGGTAAAATAGACCTGTTTACGAGGAAAAAACCTCGTGGACTTAGTTAAAGCCACGCTCGGGTATGATCAGAATCGGTATCATAGTCAACCTCATCTTCAACTCGTGAAAAGCGGATTCACATGCTTCATTCCACACAAACTTCATACGTTAACTTATTAAACACATGCAAATAAAATAATCGGGTCCCACATGGCGCATAAAACAATGCATAGAAAAATAAATAAAATTAATACAAAAAAAATCCAGGACATTACAAATTTTCACTTTGAAGGATCGTTTTACCCTTATGAACCTTAGGGTCCTGGAGCAAACCCAAAACTATGGTTATCTTACGTTTATGAATCGAAATGGTTAGAAATGTTCGTTATGACCTTGATATGACTTTTATAACATAGTATGGAGCAAAATGACCATTTTGCCTTTGAGTGTCCTCGGGTTCGGGTAAGGACCCGATTAGCAATTTGGACCCCCGAGTTCGGGGTCGTGATAAAAGTTAAAATAACACTAACAATAGCATTAAAAAAAAAAAAAATTACGCTAACATCTTCAGATTTGGACAATTATTTTTCTATTCAATCAAACAAAATGAGAGAAAATTCTATTGTTTTATGTCATTAAATTACTTTTTGTAATTAAAATTTAATTTTATCGATATAATTGTTTGATTAAATGTCCATCTTTTATATATATATATATATATACAAACACACACACATGTATTGTATAGAATAAAAAATATAATATAAATAATATAATAATAGTATATATAATATATAAGATTTAAATTTATATGTAATTGCAGTCATTATAATGAATTTGCAGTTGAAATGGGCCCATGTGGAAAGCAAGATCAATTTTGACTGTGAACAGTTTCTCAATTCGTACCCTACCTTACCAATTCAAAAACTGTGTCCAACAATCACCATTTTATTTATTTTAAGAAAAAAGAAAGTTCCTAATTCCTTAATTAACGGGCTCCTAGTTTTGTATTTCCCAAACTGATTTTTCCTATCTTTTAAAAATTATTTTGCTCATCTTCAAAAAAAAAAAAAAAAAACTTACACTAATTATGATGAGGAATGGAGAAAACAGTACTTAGAGGCTAAGAGTAAAATTAAATAAATATTACCTACCCAATGATGTAAGTTCTTGTTGATCCTATAAGTACTGTTTTCTACATATAGTTGATTCATAAAAACAATGAATGTTTTCAGAACACTTTTCAGGCCATCCAACATACATCCACTCACACAATCAGTACGTACTATGACATTACTGTACTAGCAATGCTTCACGAACACCATTACCAAAAAGACATTTCTTTTAACAACCGAACAAAAATTAATTATAGTACAAGAATTATTTCATATAGAGTATTAAGTATAGCCTAACTTATTTATGCATAAATGAGTAGGAAATAACTGTTTTTCCCCCTAGGAAGCAAATTTTATTACACCCAAATTACATCAACATAAAAGAAAAACCAATTTCAAAAAAGAAATACACAACAAACCCAAACACCAACAAAGCAAACCAAACCACACCAACAACACATCCAACAGCCAGATAGTATGCAGCCTGAAAGTACTATGTGAAAATCTAGCTCCGAGTTGATCCAAAATGTCGAATTATTCATTGTATCAACCATAAAATAGAATTAACAATATCCGTTGATTTAGACTGTCCGTCATGTAAAATCTAATTTCTGTTCAGCCACAATTTCCATATAAATGAAACAAAGATCTACTCACAAATTTAGTTCTTCTTAGTTTCCTAAGAAAAATTGAGAACTAAACTAGTCCACCAATTTCTGTCAAAGGAATTTATACTATCAAACTGCAATTTAAAAAGTCCAGCAAAGTCCAACCACGTCTTTTTTTTATAAAATAAAAAGATAAATAAAAAAAATAAATAAATAAAAAGGACCTCTCATATTGATTGCAATGTCTCTTCCATTAAATTATGACAATAAGAAAAATTAAACACACACACACCGAAAGTTCATGGTCTTTGCCTGTGGCATATTTTTTTTTTTGTTAGGCGAATTTGGCTATGGCTGTGGACGAAGAGTGTAAGCTGAAGTTTTTGGAATTAACAATAGTTCATTGAACCTAGCTTATAAGGATCATCATATTTAATTCAGATTTCAACAAACTAATAAAATTTGACAAGAAGATCAATAATTCTCTGTTCTCACAAATAATTATATGATATAATAATATTCTTATCACATTATATAAGTAAAATTATATTGGAATTACATCATTTCAACACAAGGGTCATTTTTTTTGAAAATTGGAATCTATTAAAAAATAATGATGGCAACAAAAATTATAATATATGAAGTAAATAGGCCACCAATAACTTCTTAACTAGAATGAGAAAAAATTAAAGATATATTCACATACCTAAACCAAAAATAAATAAATAAATAAAGAAAAATAAAGAAAGAAATGAAATTTAAGATATATTTCTCATGTTTTAAGGCTTATTAATCTATCCATGTTAAAATAATATCTAAGCCCAAGTTTAGAGTTTATGAAGTAGGAGGGTGTCAAAACTATTTGGAGATTTGTGCCTAATTTAGGTCAGCATATTTTTGGGAATAAAGCAACGGACAATAGACAAAATGATTTCCCTTTTCCTGAATCAGGATTGGTTTAAATTGATTCGTTATTTCAAAAAAGAAATTATTTCTTTTTCGTTGTTATTGTTGTTTGCTTCTATTTGTGTTAAAAGGGTTTTAACATAATAAATATCAGTTAATTTATATTTGAAGTGATAATTCATATAACATTAGCATGAATACAAAAACAGACTACTAAGTGTAAATAGATAAGGAGCGCGAACTGAGTAGCAACCACACAAGAAGGAAAAAATAAAAAATTAGAAGGGAAGAAACGTGGAAGAAAAACGTTGTAGAAGATGATCGATGATGATATTCATGTATCATCAGCTCTTTTGATCTTGAACTTTCTGCGGAGCCAGTTCACCTCTAGCAATATAGCCAAGCAAATCCGGTCTTTCATGTCATCAAGAAGCTGAAAATAAGTATGCCTCTATGTCCTTTTGAGGAGAAGAGTACCAAAAACAACCCAAAATCCAACCACAAATCCAGGACCCATACCAATATAAAACCATACCATTTCATACTCTTCTTCCTCTTTCTCCATTGACGTCACATCTCAACCTTGAGATCCTTCTTCTCTTGTGCAATTGTTGTTGAGAGGGGCTCTACAAAGTTCAGAATTTCCAATGTAGCTAGTTGCATTAAAACTCAAATAATTGATAAATGTCAAATTCGACATGCTTTGTGGAATTTCACTGAAAAGATGATTTCTTGAGAGATCAAGAGATTCTAAAATTGTCATGCCTCCAATATTTTAGAGTAACTTTCCCGTAATTTGATTGTGAGACAAGTTTAAAAATCGCAATACATGAAGACAAAAAAACTCTTCTGGAATCGAACCGGATATGTTATTACTTGATAGATGTGTACTTCTAACAAGTCCAAGGATATTCTTATACTCGGATTCCCTCCCTTTTGTTACCAATGAGAGAATATTTATGTAGGATTCAACAAAATTATTGTTCAACTGGACAAAATTTCCAAATAATTGTTGATTCGTGGTAATCATGGCACTGATATTTTTCCAACATTTTGGTATGGGTCCAGATAGGTTGTTATTCCTAAGATCGAGGATTATAAGATCAGAAAGTTGGCATTTTTGTGTCGGTATATTGCCGATAAATTTATTGGATCTTAAGCTAAGAATCTCCATGTGCAGCATATCTCCAATCCAACTTGGAATGAGTCCGGTGAGTTCATTTCCACCTAAATCAATGAAACTCAAAGAGGTGCAGTTTCGCAATGATAAAGGTATTTCTCCAATGAACTTATTATTATGCAATTGCAATGACTTGAGCATGCGTAGCGAACCCATTAAGTTAGGAACTTTACCAGATAGGTTATTCCTCCCCAAGTTTATATTGGCCAGATATTGCCATTGCATCGAGCAATGAGAGAGTTCTCCAGATAAAATATTATTTGATAGATCCAAAACCTCTAACAAACTTTCTCCATTCATCTCTTGGCACAAGAATGGGGAAATGGGTCCAAAGAAAGAATTGTTTGCAAGGTTCAACATTTTAATGTTCGGAGACAAACGTGGTAACCAACCCTCGAAACGATCAGAAGTCATTTCAACGATACTAGAACTTAGCAACACATTCGACATGTCTCCATTTATCTGGTTGTCGGAGAGATTAATATAATCAATATGTGAAACCCACTTCCACAACCATTCTGGAGCCGTGCCGAAAATTCCTGACTAAGAGATGTCCAAATAATTCAAAGATGTTTGTGTTCGTAGCCATAAAGGAAACCTTGGACCCATGTTGCTGGAGCTCATTTTGAGTATGTGAAGTTGAAAAGGAGGAACCCAATTGGAGTTCATGTTGAAGAACAGAAAGTTTGAACACGTATAGATCTTCAATTTTGACAGTTTGGCAAAACTGGCTTCGGAAACAATGCCTGCTAAGGAATTGGTTCCTACATATAGTTCCTCTAGATTTGAGAGCAACCCCATACTGTTTGGGAAAGTGCCATTCAATTTATTAGCAGAAAGAGAGAATAATCTCAAGGACGATAAGTTTCCAACAGATGCTGGAATGAGACCATGCAATAAATTTGCAGAAAGATAGAGAGATTCATGATGTTTCAATTGCCCAAGACCGTCTGGGATTTGCCCTGTGATTAGATTGAATCCCAAATCTAAATAGCTCAACGGGGGAAGATTTGAAATGCTACTAGGTATATGACCATATAAGGAATTAGAGGATAGATCGAGAACACGAAGGCTCGAGAGGTTCCCAAGCTGATGAGGAAGCAACCCCTCAAAAAGCGAATGAGAGAGGTTGAGATATCTCAAACTTGGCACAGAACTAAAGAAACTTGGAATAGTAGAACCACTGAAATTATTTTTGCTCAAGTCCAAGTAACTCAGAGATTCTAATACCACCAAAGAGGGACTAATCTTCTCACCCAATTGCTGCATCTCATAGTATGGATTGGGGAGGTGAAGGTGGATGACTCGACCAGTAATATTGTTGCAGCGGACTCCAGTCCAAGTACAACAATCTTGTTGGAGTCCAGACTATGAGGATAGTCTGTTGGAAGATCAGTGCGACCTTGTTTGAAGTTGAGAAGAGTTATTTTCTCCTTTTCACTGCAAACTACATGTGGAATATGTGGAATAGTAATAGCACCATCACAAAATAATAAGAAGGTAATTGAAGATGATAGCAGCCAAAGCAAGAGAAGCGCTATGCGACTACGCATCATCATCATCATCAATTATATCTGATTACCAAATTAATGGTATCAAATTAGTTGATGATACATGTAAAAGAAAACTAGTACTCTCACAGTATATATCTTCGTTTCTGGGTCTTTTGGCAAATGGTGGGGCTATGTAGAAATGAAGATCAACTAAGCCACCAGAGACTTCCCTGCCACAATAATCGATGGGGCTCATTCTTGGTCATGAGTTTGACTTGGGACACTGTCCACTCATTTCATTTTCCACACCAATTACAAAACCCAGTATTGAATAACAAAAATTGAACATTGAATTTTTTATTGTTCAGATCTTCCGCTTGCTTGAGCAGTGTCCGATTTCTATTTTTTTAGGCTGACAATTATCACAAGACTTTGAAAACTTAACTTACAACATCAATAAAAGATTATAAAATAAATAAATAATAATAATTATAATCAATTTCTCTCTTCCATATCAATTAAGAAACGTAATACAGATGGATGGAACACGGTACTTAATTATATATGAATGCAATCACAATTAATTATATTTAATTTTTTTATTATAATAATTTTAGTCAAAAATCTGTTTGTATGACATTCTTCTTAGTATTTTTTTGTTTTATTTATTATTATTATTTTAAAAAAGTTATTTTGTAAACTTTAAATTACACATTACTACTTAATTAGAAAATTTGAAAACTTTATATAGTTGAAGTTGTAAAATTATTTGGTACTCAAATATATATATATATATATAGCCCATTCTACTTTTCTAGTCAATGAAATATATTCTACTTTTCTAGTCTATGAAATATATAAGACAGACTTGTCCTTCCAAAGTGAAACCGGTAGTTCAGATACAAAAAGAGAAATTAAAATCTTAAGAATTTAATAAGAAATTACAAATAAAAACAAAAGGAAATTAGAACCACTTTGGAAGGACAAGTCTTATCTTTTATATTTCATTGACTAGAAAAGTAGAATGGGCCGAGAAAATGAAGAACCACTTCGGGAGGACAAGTCTATCTTATATATTTCATTGACTAGAAAAGTAGAATGGGCCGAGAAAATGAAGAACCACTTTGGGAGGACAAGTCTATATTATATAGTAGTATTTCATTGACTAAAAAAGTAGAATGGGCCAGAAAATGGAGATCACTTAAAGGGCAAGAAGCTTTAAATCAACCAGAAAACTATGTCTAAGACTATCTACCAAAATAAATATGAGTTCTTAATTCATTACTCAGCTCCCCGATCCAATGTTGGGGGAGGGGGGGAATTTAAGGGGCTTCTAGTTTTGGAACTAATTTTTTTGAAGTATTTTACTCTTCGGAGCAGGAGATGACTTTAATAAATCCCTTAAGTTGTTTAATTGGTTTTATCTTGCCTGCGAAAAAAAAAAAAAAATTAAATAATGATAATAATAATCAATTTGGCTCTTCCATATGAAATTATTACGAGCGTAATCGACCTGATATTTCATGAGATTACAGGTCGAACTGACTTATCACTCGAACCAATTCCTTGCAGTTAAAAACAAAGAATTAAAAAAGTTACATTTTGATTTTAAAACTTTTTAGGTGTTAGATACTTAAAGAAAATATCTTATAAAAATAAGTTCAAGTCTTTAAAAGAATTTGACATGAACATGCATGGACACTCCCCTTATAAGAATCTATTATCTGTCATAACAATTACATTTGACTTGGGATATTGTCCATTCATTTCATTTTCCACAGCAATTGAGGCTGAGAATGAGCCCAAGACTTTGAAAACTTGACTTTTACAACATCAACATTACAATAAAAAAAACAAAATAGGAAGATACAAAGACATTAAGAAATGTAATACAGATGAATGGATCAAGGTAATTAATTATATATGGATGCAATCACAATTAACTATATTCAACTTTTTTTATTATTATAATCATTTAAGTAAAAAATCTATTTTTACAACCTTTTTCTTATTATCTTTCTTTGCCTTATTTATTATTCTTATTACAGAGGAGTTGTTTTTGTAAACTGTAAATTACACATTACTAACTTTAGAACTTAATTAGCAATTTTGAAAATTTTAACGACTTCAAGTTGTAAAATTATTTGGTACTCAATGTATATATATACATACCTGGTAGTTCAGACACATAAAGAGAAAATACAAATCTTAAGAATTTCACAAGAAATAACAAATAAAAATAAGGATAAAATTTTTCGCTTGATATATATATATATATATATACACATATAATATATAGGTAAAATTTGACATAACCTCAAGGATGTGTCAATGTAATTTACCCTAAAAATAAAACGAAAATAGAACCACTCTCGGAGGACGAGTCTCTCTCTCTCTCTCTCTATATATATATATATATATATATATATTTCATTCACGAGAAAAGTAGAATTGGACCCATTTGAAAATGAAGATTACTTAAACCACCTATCAAGTTTTAATCAACCAGAAAAGGCTACCAATCACCAAATATGTGTTCTTAATTCACTAATTAATTAATTAACAAAATTTTAAGACATTACCCAATGGCCTAGGTGGTAAAAAGATCAATTCTCCGATCGAGTATGCTTGTGTTACAATCCCCCTCTTCCTAGTTTTTTTTTTTTTTTTGTTTTTTTTGGGAGGGAACACTCGAACCAATCCCATTCATGCAGACTATGTAGTTGGGAAAAAAAAAAATTACATTTTGATTTCAAGACTTGTTAGGTGTTGTATACTTAAAGAAAATATCTTATGAAAATGTATTCAAGTCTTCAAGAGAATTTGGAATGAACATGCATGGACACTACGCATATAAGAATCTATATTCTTCGTAACAGGCACAATTGATTTTCACCAAAAAATAAAAAATAAAAAATAAAAAAAATAAAAATAAAAATTCTTTGTTTTTGTTTTGGCAGGAAAGCATATAAGTACAAAATCACATACACCACAATATTTTGCATGAGGATTGAAGTCATACATACATCGTAATATTCTACATGATGCTGGAAGTCATACCACCTTAGCCCATGTTCGTGTCGATAAAGAAACTTTTCTTTAATACTTTTGGACTAGTTAAGTTATGTCTTAACTTGGAATCTTTAACTTGGAAAAAGATTAATTTAATACTTTTGACCCATTCATACGGAAGAAATTATTAAATGGTTCTGAACTCTTAATACTTGGTGGACCAGTTAAATTGAGACCCTCAGATTGAGAAGATGGCTCCACAAGAGTGTATTAATATAGTGCAAAGAAATCTCAATATTAAATTCTATTAAATTAGTCAACAAAGTATTAAATGGAAGATAACTTTCTAATAATTTATCCCCATGTGACCGTGTCCAGTGCCTTCATTGACTTGACTTGGAGCCTTCCAGTAGAAAGATTTATTGCACAATTTCAAAATGACAATGACACATGTTGATGCACATCTCAAATTCTAAAAATTATAATATATGCTCGTCAACACCACCTTTCAAAGAGAAATATATATATAAAAAGATATATATATATATATATATATATATATATATATATATATATATATATTAGACTCAACAAAGTAGCACCACATGAGAATTTTATCAGAATTATATTTGAGCATTATATACATATGAAATGCTTTCCACTTGCGTGAGTAGTGTCCTCCTCCTGTTTTCGAGGCTGAGAATGATTCTAACAACACCAACATTAGCATTAAAAAAAACAAATAATAATAATAATAAATAAAGGTAAGAATATACAAAGACACTATAAAATGTAATATGGATCTAGGTACTTAATTATATATGGATGCAACCACAATTAACCATATTCAACATTTATTATTATTATTATTATTATTATTATTTTAAGTTGAAAATCTGTTTGTATGATCTTTTTCTTATTATCTTTTTTTGCTTTTGTACACCTGAGCCCATAGGTCCGAATTACTAACCAGGTCCTTACCCGAATTGCATAATTCTAAATTGCATAATTCTAAAGTGAAGTTACACGTCGGGTAAAGCTCAGTCTTTTCCTTGTGGTCGTGATCGACCTGATATTTCATGAGACTTCATGTCGAATTGACTTAACACTCAAACCAATCCCATTCATGCAGACTATGTAGTTGGGAAAGAAAAAAAAAGTTACATTTTGATTTCAAGACTTGTTAGGTGTTGTATACTTAAAGAAAATATCTTATGAAAATATATTCAAGTCTTCAAGAGAATTTGGCATGAACGTTGTAACACCCCCACATTTTCCACGCATAAGTTGATTAGGCTTATACACGAAAAATGAGGGATATCAAAAACAATTGGCAATATACAAGCATGGAATACAAAATGATGGAAATAAAAGAATTTAGACAGGAAAGAAACATTAAATAATACAACATCCATCCATCCTTTATTTAATACAGTACTTCATTACAACTTGGAAATCCTACGTCAGGGATCCCTAAATATAACCCTGAGAGTTCAACGTCAAAAGTAAATAAAAACTGAAACTGAAGTATTACATAAAACTTCTACCCTGCACTGGATCGTAAGAGTAGATGAGTTCGGATGATGGTCCCACACTGCTAACCTCAGCCTTGAAACGGATGCTGACCGTATCCTGAAATAACAACAATGGTGGGTCAACCCCACGAGCAAGTCCTCTCTACTATGACCCAAATCAGAGAATCAAATAAATTAATCATTATGAATCGGTTGAGTACTATATCTGTATACATCATACGGGAACTAT